AGTCTCGGGGTGGACAAGTTCAGGCACCTTTACGTTTGCATTCAAGGGTCTCAGGCGAGGAGACCCTGCCACCCCTTTAGGAGAAACCTCCAAATGCCACCAGGGACAGTCCGGAGCCAGTCAGCCTTGGTGGCACTGTGGTCCCTGTCCTACTTTTCTATTTCTCTTTACTCGTTTGCACCAAACTCCACTCAGTTTCATCAAAGAGACCAGCAGACACCCAGGCCCTGAGGTCTGGGAGGACTGTGGGGTTTCCCTGGAGGAGGCAGGGACAGAGACGAAGTGGGGACATTGGGTACCACCCCCCAGCCAGGCTGAGGAGACTCAGGGGGAGCTCAGGGTGACCCAGAGGGGACACAGACAGAGTCTCTGTGATGAAGAGCAAATAGCATATTAATTGTAATTACGTATTCAGCATCTACCACAAGCTAAGCACTAGTTTAGTCTCCATCACGGCCTAGGAGGTGGATATGATTGTTACCCCCATTTTACAGGCAGAAAAACAGGCTCAGAGACCAGAAATGGCTTCCCCAAGATCTGCCACCTGGTACGTAACAAAGGGAAGAGTTTGACATAGACCGACCTGACCCCAATGCCCTGGCTTTTCCTTTCCACCTTCCCAGGTGAGAAGTGAGGGGTCCCGAGGGTCCCCATGTGTGGCCAAGGATGACACTAGCAGTGCTTTCTTGCTCTAGAACCGAGCGGGAAGCAGGGCGGCCATCCGGGGGCTGCCTGGAACCCAGATGTCCCAGCCGAGCATGAGGGATCATGACCTGGACCCCTTGGAGTCCAGGCAGACCTGGAGTCTGGGGTCACCCCTTCAAGGGTCCTTCCATCCTTGCTTGGGCCCCAGGAGGAGAGCAGAGCGGACCCACATCTGCCTCCCCTGCCTTCTGAAGTGGCCAGGTTGGACCAGGAGACCAGCTGTGTCTCCCAGGCAGGGGTGAGCTGTGTGGGTCTCAGTGGCCCCAGGAACTGGCATCGTGCAGCCTGCACAACATGGGTTGCTGGTCATTCGCGGGACAAATGACAAATAGGCCGTGAGAAGATCTGGGCTTCCTGGGTGTCTGGTCCCCAGAGTCTCTGGAATCTTCTATGCATCTGGTTCTGGTCAAGGCGGCCTTACTGTTTGGCAGAGGAATGCTCTCAAATGGCCTCTGTTCTTGAACCCCCTCCTCCAGCCCCTCTTTGGAATTTATTTACAGCCTCTGGGAGGTCTGCTGGAGGAAGCTCCTAGAAGCTGTGCTCAGGCTGGGAGAAAACATGCAAACAGCTGGAGGCAGGGACCTGGGGGAGGCGGAAGCCGAGGCTTCTGGAAATGAGGCTCCAGCCAGATGCTGCCCCGCACAGCCTCCCCTTCAGCCACACACCATGCACCTTGGGCACCTGCTGTGCAGCAAGTGTGGGTGCAGGTCAAAGAGATGACCTCATCTGGACCCTGCCTGTGCCCTCAGCAGAGACCAAGTGAGAACATTCCTTATGGATGATGTCTGGGCCCCCTGGGTGGGAGTTGGGGGTCACATGAGGGCCCCTCTCCTGGGGGCAATGGGATGAGGTTCTGTGCGGCTGCCGTGTGTTCAGCGCAGAGAGGATGTTGTGGGCTGGTCTCACCTTGGACCTCACAGTCTAGGAGACCCACCAGGGCCTAGGTGGGCACAGCGGTCAGGGGAAAGGGCCACGTGGACGCAGAAAGCAAAGATGTGGAGCCCGGCCTGGGAGGGCCTGGGAACTGGAACATTCCAGATAGTAGATTCACCTCCACACGCATCCATCCATCTGCCCAGCCATCTGTCAGTCTCCTGTGTTCATTCGTTCCTGCATTGAGTCATTTATTTGTTCAACACTTGGTCTGCTTGAAGAAAGCCCTGTTTTGAAGCCACTCGGGTGTGAGTTCCCTCCTGGTTCTGCCATGGGCCAGCTGTTCTTGATCCTCCGGGGCCTCGGCTTCCTCATCTGCAGGATGGGGATGGGGACAGAGAGATGGGGGCTGTGTGCAGAACTGAGAGGAGGATTCCGTGCGACAGCAGGTGTCACTGGAATGTGGTGGTTGCTCCATAAATGGCAGCTAGAGTTCCCGTCACCACTGGCCAGTCACTTAGAGTTTGTCCAGCTTGTGTGGGGGAAGCACCTGGTCTCGGACCCCCACCCACCAAGGCTGACCCCAGCCACACCCCAGGCTGCACCATGAGCTCTTTCAAGACACCAAACCCCTGAGACAGATGGACAGAGGACGACGACACGGTCATACTGGTCCATTCGGACTCCTCCCTTCGCAAATTCTAGGACATACCTACCTGTCCCGTTCAGGTCTCCTGACGACCCCATGGGGTTGGCACTAACGCAACCCTGTTTCTTTACGCAAAGGAAACTGAAGTACAGAGAGATTGTTGAATGTCCGAGGCCCTCTACTAGGCAGCAGAACTGCGGTGGCACCCGGGGTGTCCTCCTCCTGAGTCACCACGTCACCTCTCTCGGGGTGTCATTGGTGCTGAAGAATGGTGGCTTCCAGTGGGACCAGATGAGCCCTCTGAGACTTCACCAGCAGGTGCAAGTGCTCAACACTGTAGCATGCTGTGGGTACCTTGTTCCCATTGCTCGTCGCTATCAGATTTTCCTTTTTTTCTTAAGATTTTATTTATTTATTCATGAGAGACACAGATAGGCAGAGACACAGGCAGAGGGAGGAGGAGCAGGCTCCATGCAAGGAGCCTAAGGCGGGACTCGATCCTGGGAATCCGGAATCATGCCCTCAGCCAAAGGCAGACGCTCAACCACTGAAGCACCCAGGCGTCCCACCATCAAATTTTCCAAAATGGCCCAGGACTCTCTGGGTTCTGCTTGGCTCCTATCAGAGAATATCGAGAGGCTTTGGGAGGTCAAGCTTACTTGCTTGGAAGTGTCCGATCCTGACTCTACCTCGTCAAGGTCTTTGGTTGGAGCCCTGGGCCTGCCATTAACTTCATGTATGTCCCCAAATCAGCAAGCATGTCTGAGCTTCCACTCTGTCTCCTTTATAGTCATCAGATCTCTCTTAGCACAGGACCGATCTGTACTTGGTGTTCATCCAAGGGTCATTGGACCTGGAGTAGCACCTAATACCTTGTGTGACTCCTTTAATGACACCTGTTGGCAGTGCTTGCTTCATGGGCTTATTTTTAAGAGCAGCAAGTAAGTCCATGAGAAGGAAGCAAGGATTCACACTTACTGAGCAGCCTCCATATACCATACCCACCCCTCCTTGGCCACTTGACATGTGTGATTTTCGTAAAGCCCCATAGAGCAGTTAGGATGCGTTCGATGCCAAGGAATAAAATAGCTAACCACGGCTTAAGCAGTAAGTCACTGAGTTAGCTAATGTGACAGAAAGGCTGTTCCAGGTTTTGGTTCAGTACCACCATCGTAGCCTAAAGAACCAGGCTTTTTTCCTCTTTCTGCTCTACCATCCTCAACATATTGACTTTTCATCCTCCAGCTTGTGCCTCATGTAACCAATATGACTGCTGCGGCTCCAGCCATCAACGTCGCACACAAGGTAAAAAGAGAATGAGTAGAGCACCTGGGTGGCTCTGTGGTTGAGCATCTGCCTTCGGCTCAGGTCATGATCCCGGTCCTGGGATCGGGTCTCGCATCGGGCTCCCTACAGGGAGCCTTCTTCTGCATCTGCCTATGTCTCTGCCTGTCTCTGTGTCTCTCACAAATAAATAAATAAAATCTCCAAAATCTTTTTAAAAAAGAGAGAGATAATGAGTCAAGAAATTTTTTTCTCCTCTCAAGGGATGCAATCTTTTCTAGGAGTCCCCAGAAGATCTCTCTTTATGTGTCACAGGACTGAATCAGGCAGGAGACTCCGCCCCAGGTCAATAAATGGAAAGACCATCAGGATCACCTCTTGTGGGGTCATGTCAATGGTCACAAAGTCACTCTCCATGACGCAAACCTACACCACCACTGAGCAGCCGTGCACGCTCCATGTCCCCTTAAATAGGTTGGAGGAAAAGAGAAGAGGGGGAGTGACTGCTACGGGAACTGCAGGGTAGGGAGCCTCCCTGAGGCCCAGAGATGGGACCTCACTGGGATGTGAGAGAAGCAGCAAGGCCGAGTGGTAAGAGAAGCGTGCAGGGAGGTCTCAGTCCGTGGGCAGGCCCCTGGGAGGCTGTGGCCAGGTGAGATCTCGGTTCTGTTTTCCGAGGTTTGCTCTGATGACTCTGGGAAGCAGTAGAGGACACAGAGGGGAGGCTCAGGGCCAGTCAGGAGGTGGTTGCTGAGATCCACGCAGGGATGAGGAGCTGGATTGAGGGTAGGCGGGGACCCCAGTGGGGACCCCTCACCCATGTGGCGGCTTCCAGCATGGACAAGGTGAGGCACCCAAACCCACCGTGATAACAAGTGCCCGGATTGGGGGGACACAGTGCCAGCACCTGAAGGCCCTCTCGGGCTGATGATAGAGAAAGTCAGCGCCTGCAAACGCCACCGCCACCGTGGCTTTAACTTGTCGGGAGGGCTGATGAGAACCTGGGCCCCGGAGCTGAGTTCATTCGCAAATTCCTATCATTTCTAGATGGCTGCAGCTCAGAGCCATCCTCCTTTGAGTGCAGCCAGGGAGAGAAGAATGAATGATGGCAAATGAAAACCAGAAGTAGGAGCAGCCTGAAGAAATGGGAGGGAGCTTATTCGCCTCCTCTGGGAGCATGTTCAAGGCCCCCTCCCCCGGCCGCCAGGGTAACCCTATCCCCCCCTCCACCTGGCACCCTCCCCTGGTTTACCCCTCCCCACCTTTGGGAAATACCTGGGCTGGATGACCCCAGCCCCTTCCGTGAGAATGTACTGCCCCAGTGTGAAATCACAGCCCTGTGACTTTCCCTTTAAGAGCTGTCAGAGCCAGAGAGGCTGGCCAAGCTTGGGCAGGAGGTGGGGACAGAGGGAAGAAAGGAGAAAAAAAGAGAGAGAGAGAGAGAGAGAGAGGCAGGAAAAGTTTTTTCAGAGGAAAATGCAGGGTTTATCCTTAACTCTGACGTCAGATCTTGCTTTAATAACCCCCCCCCCCCCAAGGCTGTGGGAAGAGGCATATCTGGTGCTCCTGATGGGCCAGGCCAGTCTCTCGGCCCAGCTCCCCCGAGAGGCGGCCGGATCCTCTGGGCTGCTCCGTCGATGCCTTTGCCGCTGACTTCCAGGCATGAGGTGGTTCCTGCCCTGGACGCTGGCAGCAGTGACAGCAGCAGCCGCCACGGTGAGTCCCGCCTGGAGGGGCTCAGAGAAGGGACCCAGATCCCTTCTCCCGCCGGTTCTGCTACGTGGGTGGGCAGATCCAGGGGGGCTGGGAGCGTGGGGGCGAGCTGGAAGTGACTGGCCCCCACGGAGAGGCCAGGGCCAAGCCCAGGGGGAGGACGGGGCTGTGCAGCGGGAAGGGGGCAGCCCCCCGCGGTGGCAGGGGGTGAGCGGGGGTGGGCAGGGGGTGCACAAAGCAAACAGGTGCTCCACGCCCGCCTTTCACACCTGAAACTCAGCAGAAAGGGGGCACTTGGTGGATCGGGGAGTCGGGGCCCTGGACCCCAGTCCCAGCTGCGCCCGGGCTGGCTGTGTGACCTTGGGCCAGTCACTCCTCCCTGAACAGCGAAGAAGTCGGCAGGAGGCTTGTCAAGTTTTGGGTTTGGAAAATAAGGCTCCAGGTGCTAGACATACTACAAGTAGGGGAGTCAGAAGACACCCGCTGCTTTTGGGCAAACACTGTTTGTGGACGCTTTTGAACCCCAGCCTCGGGTGCCTCGGGCTGGCACAGCCACCTACAGCGCAGGGCATATGCACATTGGGGCCCCGGACATGAAGCTGGCTGTTTCGGGGGATCCTGCGCGTGCTCTCTCTCCTCTCCCTGTCCCAGGGCTCTCCTTCAAAGCCGAGGAAGAGGGTCTCTCTGAGAAGCCAGGGAAGCAAGACACGTGGCAGCACACAGCCAGCCTGCTGGCTGCGGTGTAGACTCAGGCCCAGGGCAGGCAGGAGGTGGGCAGCGGGGAAGAGCTCCTGAATCCAAGATCCCACAGCCCCGGCCAGCGCCTGCTGCCCATGGTGACGCCAAGAGACAGAGGGAAGGTGGCAAGAAGGGTTTCATTACCCACGAGCCCTGGCAGCTTCTTTGGTGATCAATGTGCCCCATTTGTGGATGAGGAAGCTGAGGCTTAAGGTAGAGCTACTCGCCCACGGGCTCAGAGTCCCGGGCTCTGATTTAGCCAGATCTGAGGCTGAGAGCCGACCCAGCCCAGTTGCCTCTGGAGCTGGGGGATGGATGCTTCTCCAGGTGCCGCCGTAGTATGTTTGAGGAGGGCAGGGGTGCATCTGCGTGGTTGGTTGTGCAATCCTTTATTTTAATTAATTTATTTTTTTGCGAAATCCTTTAAAGCTTTCATGGGACCCACCCATGGTTGGTGCCAAGCCGTGCTGCAAAAAGCGATGCTAACTTCATTTTACGGAAGAAAGAAACAGCTGCTTAGGGCAAGCAAGGGACTTGCCCAGGGTCTCACGATTCGTAAGTGGCCAGGGCTCAAATTGAGATCTTCCCCCGCCCGCCAAATCCTGCTCTTTCTTCCAGAGCTTTCCTAGCTTAGGGGCAAAGCATCTGAGCATTTCCTACAGACTGGAGCAAACCACGGAGAGCCAAAGCAGCCTTTATTGGGGGTTACTAGGGTTGGGAGGACAAGGCGTAGATGGAGAAGAGGTGAGAGGGGCAGGGTCGCAGGAGTCTGAGCGAAGAGGAGGAAAGAAGCTGTAGGCAGGTCCAAGTACGTTGGAGCCCGTTACCTCCCAGGATGGGGGGTGCTGGGGAGGAGAGGGGTCCAGATCCCAGGGGAACCTGCAGCATGGGAGCCCAGAATCCAGAGAGACCCGAAGAGCAGGATGGAGGGGAGGCTCCTGGGAGGCAGTGGGGCACCTCTCCTCTGTGCAGCCGCCACTCGGGGACCTTCTCTGGGCCCCCAACACGACCCAGCCCACATTGGCGTCCGGATCCCAGACAAAGCCCAGCATGAGAGCTCTTGGAGCATCCTAACGCCCCCCGTGAGGCCTGTGAGACAGATGGCGACCAGGGCTTTGCTCTCTAGCCAAACGCCATACATGGCCTTCCTCTGCTAACTAACATAGAACAGGAATGCAAGCTCCTCCGGGGCCCTGGGGGATTTTCATGGAAAAATGATTATAGATGTTCATATGGAAGGAACGGTTTGTGAGATGTGCCGAGGGAAACATGTTGAGGAAGCAGAGTTCTGAGGGAAGACTTGCCCTATCAGATAGTGAAATGCCATCTGAACGTTCTGGAATTGAAGGAGCAAGATGCCAACCAGGAAGAGAGAAATTGAGCAGGACAGGGCAGCGAGCTCAGAAACTCCACGGAGCCTCCTTGGGAATGTGATCTGTGATCAAGGCGTGACGGGATTTTTACAGATTTGACTGGTTTTTCCATCTCTTTATTCTTCTGTTCCTTCTACATGGACACTACCCACCCTGAGCTAGGAGAAAGAGGCTACGTTTAGTGGGTGCAACCAACGGCCCGGGCCAAGGGCCTGTGCATATGAGACCTTCCTCAGGTCACCCAGCAGACACTCACTAGCATATACCGAGCACCCCCTAAAGCCCTCACAGCAATACTATGAAGCAGACGTGATGACCCCTCTTTGCCGATGCAGAAACTTGAAGGTCAGAGAGGTTCAGTCATTTGCCTGAGGTCACACAGCTGGCAATTTTGAACCTAGGTGCCGCTCTGTGCCGCACAGCCTGCGGCCTAGCTGGCCCACGTAGCCGTATAGAAATGAGAGGCCCATGGTTTCTGCTCCTACAGCACGTAGAGGCCAGAGAGACACAACAGCCACCCCCCTGCCGTGGGGAAGACAGGTGGCAGGGGTGGAGGTGTCCAGGACAGAGAGGCTGGGTGCAAGCTCTGCCAGGGCTGGGCCAGCTTCAGCAGGTCCCTTACCGGCTCTGGGTCTCACTGTCTTCTCTCGTTCATCCAGGCTCACCACCTCGGCCCTACTAGCTCCCTGCTGAAGGCTCTCAGAAGCCTGGGACTGGGGGAAGCAAACTATGTGCCAGTAAGTCCCCAGGCACATGTTAGGTCTGTGGTTGTCAGTGTGTAGGTGAGACCCACCGTCCCGTCTGCCATATAAACGCATGGGGGGATATGCACGGGCGTGCGTGCGCACGTGTGTCAGAGATCGCGGCTCATCTGAGTGTGTAAATCGCCACGGTGTGTGTGATGGCACACGGATGCACGTGTACGGTATATGAGATGCAAGCTCATTCCCCGCTCCCGGGACCGACCGCGGGGTGGTGTGGCCCGGCATGCGGCGCTGCCCTTTTAAAAATGTGAGAACATAACATAAACGCTGTGCCTCCTCTATACCCCCTGTCCACGGCTTTGGATCTGAGCCAACATTTCAAACCCCACCCCAGGCCCCTGCTTGGAGCCTCTTCCTGCAACTTAGACGCTCTGCTGGTCGGCTCGGGGCTGCGGCTTGCCCCACTTGCCGTCTGTCCCGGGGATGCTGGCGGGAGTGCGGCACCACCAGGAGCTTTCCATCTGGCACGGCTCTTGGCAAAGCTTCACCCTCTGGGATGGGCTCCTTGGAGAACCAGACCCTGACTGTGGGTGAGGCTGCACCTCCAGCCCGACGGCAGACTCACCTCCCCCCCAGCTTTTAGAAGAGGCCCCTGCCCCAGGCCAGCAAAGCAGCCAAATGCCAGGAGGCTGCCTTTGGCTTTGTACAAGGATTTGCGCCTGGGATTCCTCCCAGGAGACTTGGCCATCTCTCGGGGCACAGGGAGGGGCCGTTACACATACTGTGAGCTCCACATGGGAGAGAGGGAAGCAAGACAGCAATGGGCCAGGCTGGAGTCCCAGGAGGGGCTGGGAGGCCTGCCAACCACAGCCAGGGAAGCAGAGCAAGGAAGGAAGTTTCGAGCTCAAACCATACAATACTGTGAATGTCTAAGAGCGAGGCTTTGGCACATGGTACATTCACTCAACACCCCTGGAGCTCCCGGTGACTCAGTAACGCTGATGAGAATGAAGGTAAAAACGGATGAAGTGTTCACTGTATCCCAAGCACTCTAAGTACAGCAGCTCACTTGAAGGCCACACCTATGAAGCCACCAGCATCCTCATACTGGCATTGTCCCTCATGGCCACTTGCCACAGGAGGCCACTGGGTGCCTGAAATGAGGCTCCATCCCAAGGGAGATGTAGAACCAGATTTCAAAGATTCAGTACGAGTACAGGAGCACCACAGGCTCACTGTGATTTTTCTATTGACTCCATGTTGAAATAAGAATATTTTTAATATGTTGGGTTAAATGAATAGAACATGAAACTGACTTTCACTGGTTTCTTACTAGTTTTCTGGCTACTAGGAAATGTAAGATTCTATATCTGGTCCACGTAGTGTATTACTAGACCGTGTTGGCCTGGGAAGACGCTAAGTGCCCATACATGGGTTTTAATAGGTGGAGGGGGGCAAGATATTAAGGGTTCTAATCCCAGCTCATCCACTGAGCCAGTTTTGTCATCTGTGAAAAGATGTAATATTAGCACTCGTTTCCTTGGGTTATTGAGAAGATTAAGGAATGAAACAGAGATAAAGCATGGGAAGCCCCAGCGTAGCCAAGGGGAAGTGGGGACGTGATTCACTTCACTCCAATAGCAGGGTTGGGGGCCCCAGCTTGAGTGGAAGCACTGGTTGCAGGCAAGTGCCAGGTCTGAACAAATGAGCAGGGGTTCATAAAGACCCCAGACCCAGCACCAGGTGGGCGAGAGGAGGGGTAGACTTACTGGTGGACTGTGCTAGGCTCAGGGCTGAGTTGGTCTCCTGAAGCTCCCAAGGTTTCTACATCCTGCCAGCTTCTTAGCACATTTTGAAGGAGTCAATCAGCATGGATGGATTATCACATAGGAGAGAAAAATACTGATGGTGGCTGTGGTGAAGATGATGGTGGTGCTGTGAAGGTGATGATGAAGCTGGTGATGATGGTGGTGGTGGTGGTGGTGGTGGTGATGGTGGTAAAGATGACAATGGTGATGATGATGGTGCTGATGGTGGTGGTGGTGATGATGATAGTGGTGCTGTGATAAAGGTGATGATGATAATGGTGGTGATGATAATGGTGGTGGTGGTGATGGTGATGGTGCTGATGGTGGTGGTGGTTATGATGGTGGTAGTGGTGGTGGCGATGGTGCTAAAGATGACAGTG